TGATCATGTATTTTAAAAATGTTAAACATGTGTAAAAAAATATTTCCAACGTAAATGAAAAAATTAGACATGTGTTAAAAAAGAAAAAGAAAAAGAAAACCGAAGAAAGAAACAAGAGAAAATCTAAAAACCAAAGACAAGGGGAAGGAAACCATGAATTAACAATAGAAAACTCCAAAAATAAATAAACAGATGCAAAACAGTGAAAAAACGATTAAAATCACAGAAAAACGTCTCGCGCAGCTATAGTATTTTAGTCGGCGCTGTAGGCGAGACATAATACGTCTCGGTACGAGCGACACATAGCTCTGACCCTCTGGCAGGCAGATGGCAAGCAGCTGTACCGCGGAGTCCATGGTGGGGCGAAGCGCTGGAGCAGGCACGGAGTGCTATCAGGTAGCCGGCGCCGCCGCCCGCCCCCCACCCCCCGCGTCTCCGCCGCTACCTGTGGACCTCCCGCACGGAAACCTTCTCCAACACCCTCGTGTAGACCTGGGGCTCTGTCGCTCTGACCCTCTCCGGTGACAAGTCTTTTCTGGAGCTCCTCCCCGGACTCTTCATCGATGGTATGCTTCGCTACCGACTGCTATAGTAGAACATCTCCTCACTCTCATATCTAAGTCAGAAACTAATACCTGCGGTAGTTAATTAGTATAGATCGCAACCAGTACGAATGACTTTATTAGAAGGGTCTAATTCGACAGACTTTTGCTCATGGAACCATGAATTGTGGCAGCTCTTAATTGTCAGTACTTTGAAAGAACAAATAGCTTTTCTAATTTTTTTTGTTTGGATTCTAATTCCTGTGGATCTGCTTACTGCAGCACCCTTGATTCGTAGGTATTAGCAAAGGACAAGTTTGCAAGTTTCCTTTGTGTGCCCTTCCATAGCAAAAACGTATAAAAATCAATGTCCCGCCAACAGCTCCTTTATTTGTTCCTACTAAAAGCGCGATACGGTGTCAGTGGTAGGGTCGCATAAATTTAGCACTAGAAGTATGTTACTTGGATTCCTCTGTTTCTACGTACATGAATTCCTGTCAAATTCTGTTGGCTTTCTTATTATTGCCTTGCTAGAATCTTGTGAATAAACAAAACAGATTTGCTATTTCACATCTAGATGTGAAATAGCTATCTCACATCTAAGTCCATAGCCATTGGATGTTCTCCTGTCTTTAAGATTCGCGCGTACGTTTTCTGTTACGCTTCGTTGGATTTGCCCTCGTCGCTGGTGCTTTCGTTGTCCGCGGAGACTCGCGTCGACAGATTTCGCGGTCGTCGTTGTTACTGGACCGGCCCGGCCCATTTTCACGAACTTGTTAAGTTCAAAGAGAAGGAAAAGCGGAGCTTGAGGGATCGAACCCGTGTCATAGAAAAGAAAGCTAGCGCCCCAGCCACCTTGTCATCCTACAGTTTGTGCTAACTAAAGGGACGCACAGTACTTGAAGCGGATCGAGCCGTTTCTTTCCTTTTGTTTCGTCTTGATTTTTTTTTTGTTCTCCATTTTTCCCATCCTTTTTTGCATTTGTTTTTATTTTTTTCCTTTCGTTTATTTTTTTTCTTTTTGTTTTTACAGGGCTTTTCTTTGTTTTTTGATTGATTCTATTTTTTGTTTTCCTTTTTTTCTTATGTTTGTTTTCGTTTTTAATCTACATTTCCGTATATGTCAAAACCATTTTTTAATAAGTGATCAACATTTTTTTATAATTGTTCAACATTGTCCGAACGCTTATTCAACATTTTTGAAATACTTGTTTAACCTTTTAATACCCGTGCAACACTTTCAAATACTCATTCAACATTTTTTGTATACATGTTCAACATTGTCCGAACACTTATTCAACATTTTTTCTAATACTCGTTCAACACTTTTTAAATACTCGTTCAACAATTTTCAAATACCTTTTCAATATTTTGATTACTTATTCAAAAAAATTCAAATACTTTTTGTTCAACATTTTCTTATACTTGTTCAACATTTTCAAATACTCGTTCAATATTTTTCAAATACTTGTTCAACAATTTTGATACTTATTCAGCATTGTCAAATACTTGCTCATCATTCAATATTTTTTAATACTTATTCGACATTTTTCAAATACACCCTAGTAGCAAGTTTTAATACTTGTTCAACAGTTTTTATAGTTGCCCTAGTTGCCAGTCCACCCTCGACTCGCAACTCGAGGGGTGTTGTCTTTTGTATTTGTTTCATGGTAGTTGCAATTAGACCCTCGGTGTGCAACTAGGGGTTTCTGTCGGCCCGGTTGCAAGTCCACCCTTGACTCGCAACTCGGGGGGTGTTGTTTTGGTTTTCTCCCTAGTTGCAAGTCCACCCCGACTTGCAACTCGAGGGATGTAGTTTTGTATTGTCCCAGGTTCAAGTCAACAATGTACTCGCAACTCGGGGATGTAGTTTTGTA